TGGTCATCTCTTGCTCAGCGGTTAAAGGGATCAATCTGATTTGGGGCAAGTTTGGGTCCGGTTCAGGAGAGGCTTCTAATAAGAAGTCGGTTACCCTGGTCTTTCGTTTGTTACTATATCGGTATATCGGTTCAAAATTGAGTAACTTAGCCCAGCTCCGTTCGGGATATCGTAGTGCGGCGCGCAGTGTATTCAAGTTGGGATAGTTGTACTGGGACTTGAGAAAGTTCAAATTTGCATGAAGAAGGGTAACAGTTAATACGGTTCAGGATAAAGAAAACCGAAGTACGAAAAAGCATGGATTCGGACCAAGGTAATCCTACCGGCTACATCCTTGTTCCAATTTATTCTGTGACCCGGGATCTGGGCTTGTTGATCTTCAAAATTTCCAGATACCCAGAAGAAATCATCGTCATTCACATCTTTATCCGGGGTATTTTTTATTATCTTTTCACGTCGGCGTCTTATTCTTAAGTAGTATACCCAGCCATCTTCGGCCGATCCTATGTTACCCTGGTCTTTCATTTGCTACTATATTGGTATGTCGGTTCAAAATTGAGTAACTTAGCCCAGCTCCGTTCGGGATATCGTAGTGCGGCGCGCAGTGTATTCAAGTTGGGATAGTTGTACTGGGACTTGAGAAAGTTCAAATCTGCATGAAGAAGGGTAACAGTTAATACAGTTCAGGATAAAGAAAACCGAAGTACGAAAAAGCATGGATTCGGACCAAGGTAATCCTACCGGCTACATCCTTGTTCCAATTTATTCTGTCACCCGAGATCTGGGCTTGTTGATCTTCAAAATTTCCAGATACCTAGAAGAAATCATCGTCATTCACATCTTTATCTGGGGTATTTTTTATTATCTTTTCACGCCGGCGTCTTATTATTAAGTAGTATACCCAGCCATCTTCAGCCGATCTTATGGAGTATTGATGGAAGAGCTCGGCTAGATCGAGATTAAGGCCAGCCTGGCGGTTTAGCTCGGCTATGCCATTTATTATGCAATAAGAATTGGTGGAAAGTTGGGTAGGGCAAAGGTTGGTTTGTTTGAGAAATTCACAAAGAAGGGGTTGTACGGGGAATCTTAGGCCGGTTTCTACAATCGAAAGAAGGGTGAAAGGAACAAAACCCCGGTTTCCCCAAGGGGTGGTATCTAGCTCGGCTAGAGTTAGATAGACATCATCAGGGATATGGTAGTTCCTTTGGAACTCAGCCATACCACCTGGTGTGTTTACCAAAAACCTATATTTACCCATGAAGTTTTAACTTATGTATAAATTAGCTATGTACTAACTCGGTCGTGAAATGACGCTGAGTAGCTCGGTCGAGCGTTCAAAGGAGTGCCTGACAACCTAAGCCTGCAAAGTGAAAAGAGAAAGGTGTTAAGCACAGATCGATGGACCGCGCTAAAAGAAACAAAGGCAAGATAAATGAAGTCCTAGCTCGGCTAGGTGGGGATACTACCCCTTCTTAGCTGGGTTTGAGCAAGGGACTTTAGCTCGGTTGAAGCACTTGGGGCAGCATTCTTAGTCCGGTCTTGGCTAAGAGAGCTGGCTCAGCCCCCAAGTTGTAGCTTGGTCGGGGGTTGAGACTTTCTACGACAGTGTTGCACAAAACCTAGTTTGGTTCCCTAGCTCGGCTAAGTTAAAGCAGACCGTACTAAGACTCGTTGAAATTACAAGAATAGTGTTAAGTTTTAGTTCGGTTGTTTATGGCCAGGTTCACGGTTGGAGTAGGATTTTGGATCAAATACATCGTTCTACAGGTTGTTCTTAAGTGCGATGGTTCTATTACGCAAGTTTTTCAGAGAAAGGGATGCAAAAATGGAATGTGCTTTAAAAAACGTACAAATACACATGCTATGTTGTACAAAACAAGAACGAAATCAACGGAAAGGAAACAGTTGTGAGTTACATATCAGTTCAAGGTAAAGGGACTGGAGATGAAAGCAATCTCAGCAAGAACACGAGTTTATGCAAGCACTGTGTTTGGGAGAAATGAAGACTCAGAGAGAAAAAGATGAATAGTGCAAGTGAAGTGAAAGATCCAAAAACAAAAGGGTTTTGTTTTGAGTAGAACAAAGGACAAAAAAGAGCGGGACTGTTCAAATTTTGCGAGATACGAAGACGGCGTGACAGCTGTATTGGGCCAATCAGAGTGTGCCACGTGTCCTTGAGATAAGAAACGATTCAGTTGCTGCGATTGAAGATACGTTTTGACCGGGCACATTTAAGTAGCCCGGTGTTAACCTAGCCCGGTTGGAATACTAAAGAATTTAGTCCAGTTGGAATAATAAGAGTTTTTAGCTCGGTTGGAATACTAAAAGATTTTTTAGCTCGGCTAGTAAACGGGTAATCCCTATCATGCTGCGCAGGTGGAATTAAGGGACAATTGAGAGAGAAATTTATATCTAAATTGGGCCGAACTGAGTAGTAGGCCGTTGTGGGCCACGGTAAGAATGGCTGAGTATAAAGGCCTTGAAGTTAGCCCGGTCCAAGATGGCCTTCAAGATAGTCCGATCCAAGAGAGCTTTGCAGTTAGCTCGGTCGCCACGCTCAGAGTTAGCCCGGTCATGGTGTATTATTGTTAGCTCGGTTAGAACCTTGCTATTAGTTAGCTCGATCTAAGCACACCATGGTTTGTACAGGGAAAACCGAGGTAAGAGCAGTGAAAGGAAGAACCAAACTAGGCATAGTTTGGTCTACTCTGCGGCTTAGCATGGCCATGCTTACCTCGGTCATATTGAAATTCAACCATGGCAAAACCATCTTACTTGGTTTGAGCAGTGAGGGAGGTGTTGAAAGATAAGCATTATCTTTCAGGAGTATGACTCCTAGAATGACTCTATATGTAGGAGTAAAAGTCCTACTAGGATTGTGCCACGCAGAACCTATAAAAGCTCACAACATTATCTATGGAGAGGTAACACAACTTTGATTCCCGAATACGCAGAGCTTTTGTCTATTGGTCTATTTTTCTGACTTAGGCATCGGAGATGTATCCGGTACACACCCGCCGGCTAGTTCACGTTTGTGTTTTCAGGGAGTAAAGCGACATCATACGGAAGAACGCGAACTTGATCAACAGAATTATACGAGAATGTTTATTTCTTCCCCGTACAAAAACTAATTTCATTCCTTAACAATTTGACATCAGGCCTAAATATGTTCTTAAAGCCTGTACTGGATGTTTTCAATGTGCTCTCTAAATATTAATGACCATCAATCATTATCGCAATTTAACAAATTATTTTTCTTTTTTTTTTTGTTTTCAATGGATTTGTTAAAATTATTGTTATTAATTCCAGAGACGCGAAATTAAATTATACCTTTATTATCTTTGTCAATTAATGTACTCTTTAACACACAAATTTAATCATTCTATTAGAAACACTCATGGTAGACTTGAGACAATTTAGCAATGCTATGCACTTGCATAGCTATTTAAAAAATAAAATATATAACTTAACATCTTTTATATAACAATTTATTATATGGAGAATTACACACAAATGGTAATGGGAAAGAAAGAAAAAAAATGCCTCAAAATTAGTCAGATTTGAACTGTTATATCATCTTAAGATGCATTTCCGTCAGGATGCAAGGAGAGAGACCAAAAAAAAAAAACCTGAACTCTCAAAATTAGACTTATTTTCTAAATTTATTGATGTGACATTCTATTCAAAATACCTAAATAATTTATTCTATAATTATCAACCAATCATTTTGTTGACACATCATTAAGATTAGAAAGTAAATTTACAAAATGAACTTGTATATCAATTTTTAAATTTGATAATTATAATTTTTTTCATTAATGTATAATAATATTTTGAAAATTGCCCCAAAATGGTAATTTTGTCTTTTATTTTGAAGGGAAAATTACACTAACAGTCTTTATGATTTAGGACTCGTGTAACTTTGATCCCTGACTTTTCAATTATGACACATTTGATCTTAAATTTTGAATCTTGTTCCAAATAAGGACAATTAAAGATACCATTATTTAATGTCAAGGGCAAAATTGTCAATTTAGTAAAATATAAACTAATTTGACAAAAATAAATGTCAAAAAAATATTTTCAATTTTTTAAAAATTATTTTTATCCACCAATAATAAAATTATGTAACATTGATAAAAATTATATGATTAATTTTTAAAAATTAATTTTACATGATCAATATCTAAACACATAATAAAAATTAATTTGGTAAAAATAATAAATAAATGTCTAAAAATTTTATCAATTTTACATAATTTTATTTTTAGTGGGTAGAAATAATTTTTAAAAATTCAAAAATATTTGTTTGACATTTATTTTTGTCAAATTAGTTTATATTTTATCAAATTGATGGTTTTACCCTTGAAAAATCTAATCAGTGTGTTTGGTTTGAGTTTTTTGGATTAAGTTTTTTAAAAACTGAATTTTTTGATTATCGTGTTTTTTTTTTTGTTTTTAGTGAATATTTTTAAAATTTTAAACATTTTTTTTACTTTTTAGATACATCTTTTACTTTTTTAGATGCATCTTACTTAGATGCATCTAAAAAGTAAAAAAATTGTGAAAAAATATTTTAAAAAATTAATTAATGCATAAAAATTCAAAAAATGTACTAAATTATTGTATTTTTTTTTATATTTTTGGTATTTAGTGAATTTTTAAAAGATTTTTTTTTACAATTTTTTTACTTTTTAGGTATATTTATGTTATGTGTGTCCAAAAAGTAAAAAAATTGTTTAAAATATTAAAAAATTCTATAAAAATAAAAAACACGAAAAATAAGAAAGTAAAATTTTCTTAAAAGTATTTTTTGAAAAATGAAAACAAGCAAGCTGATATCTTCAATTATTTTTATTTGGAGTAAGATTCAAAATTTAAGGTCAAATATGTCACAATTAAAAAAAGTGACACAAGTCCCAAACTATAAGAACTATTAGTATAACCTACCCATTAAAAAGAAAAAAAAAAAACTTTTACAATTTTTAAGAACCCGGTGCAACCGTTGACCCGAAAAACCATAACGGGAGTCCATCAGTCACCCACTACATCCGGCGACTATGGCGGCGGAGTACGATCCGAAACGTGCTTCCGGCGACTATTCGTCCGCCGTGAATGACGGCGTGACGGTGGAGGAATGCCAAGATATGATCCGGCGAAGTCTCAGAAGTACGTCCTTTTACCTTTCACCTCTCTTTCTATCTTTCTCTGTCGATCGAACCAAGGTTTTTAGGGTTTTAGAGCTTCTTCTTCTTATTCTTCTTCATAATACAATGACGCTGAAATTTCATCAACTCAATTGCTTAATTGCAGCTCCAATGGTGGAATTTTTGAGGGAGCATTTGGAGAACGCTGGATGCAGTATTGGGGAAAAATTCATCAAGGCCGTCCCCTGCGACAAGGAAATCGGTGGCGGTTATCTCCGCGGCCAAGGGGTAATCGTAAATCATCGTTCCCTTTTAAAGATCATAAATCATTCAATTTTGAAGTTTAATTTATTAAAAATCAAAATCAGATTGTGAAACTGGTTATTTATTAATCAATGTGACTAGATTTTGATTTCTCTGTTTGTGCAATATCATTGTTCATAGCGACCATGCTTTCTGATCTGCTAATTGACCTTCATCTCTTGAATTTTTGGCCTCATACTGATGATACTGCACAAGTTTTTATTTGATTAATCATTCTGTGCCTTTTTTGCTTTTTTTTGGTGCTATTTTGGAAGCTGTACATGTAAATGTTTTCCACCTGAATATACATTTTTTGCAATTGAGTCTTCTAACCATGTAATTACTTGCTTAAATATGTATGGATAATTTAGTAAAACCATAAACTATATTTTGCCCGTCCCCTTATAGCCCACTGTTGAGTGTACGACCAAAATGGAATTGAACTTTCACCAAATAAAATCGGGCTAGAGTTGATTTCTCTGTTGGTTGAATTCTCTACTAGGTGGAAATCAGACCTTCGGCTCTCGATTGTCACTTGTGTGTCCATTTCTTCTTTGTGCTGCTGGACTTGAGGCAGGAGTAAGGGAGCTGGGAATCTCAAGGAAGTCCTCCATTGAATTGAATGGGGTGGGAAAGGTTTTGAAAAGCGGTTGCAGTCGCCGTAACGATTGCAGTGACGCGATAGCGGTTGTGGGGTGTATAGGCCGTAGCGTAACAGTTGCGGTAATCGGAACCGTAATTTTTTTTTTTCCCACACAAGTTAAAGAAAACTTACTAATGCACATATTTTTTTCTCTCTTCAAAATCATATTTATTGGGGTTTAAAATAAATTTTGATAATTTTTTGTTAATGGTTAAGTATGATAAAATATATTTCATATTTTCAAATCGCTATAAAATAAATTTTTTACATTTTATTTCAATAATTAATGATTTTAAGAATAATTGATTTAAATGTCTACAAATTATTTTTTACCAATACTTGAACTAACTGAATAAAAAATATTTACAATTACTAAATAAAAGGATTATAAAATAAAAATTGTGCCATAAATTTTTTTTAAAAAAATTATAAAGAAAAAAATTCATATAAGATTTTTTCTTTGGGCTTGGACCACTTGAGTATTTGTTTTTTTTTTTTTTTTTGGAGAAAATGAAGCTATTCAAAATATTATAAAATGGTATAATGGTATCTAATGGGCCATTACGACCGTTACAGTACTCCTACGGTCGTTACGTAACACCGCTACGACCATCTATTGCTATGGCCGTTACGTAACACCGAAATGACCGTTACACATATAAATTTCTATCATACTACTATAGCGGCTGTAACAGGTGGTGATAACCACCACAACCATTACGTAATGGCGTTACGTAATGGTTGCCGACGCTTTTTAAAACCTTGAGTGGGACCAAGGTTTTGGAAAGCAGTTGCGTTCGCCGTAACAGTTGCAGTGATACGGTAGCAATTGTGGTGTGTAAAGGTTGTAGTGTAACGGTTGTTGCAAAAAGAAATCGTGATTTTTTTTTTATTTAATTTTTTGCACAATTTGAAGAAAATTTAACGATATGCAAATTTTTGTTTTCTTCATAATCACATTTATTGGGGTTTAAAATAATTTTTGATCAATTTTTGTTAATTTTTAAGTATAATCCAATATATTTCATATTTTCAAATCATTATAAAAGGAGCTTTTTACATTTTATTTCAATAGTTAATGATTTTAAGAATAATTAATTTTAAATGTCTACAAATTATTTTTCACCAATACCTGAACTAACTGAATAAAAAATATTCACAATTATATTAAATGAAGGGATTATAAAATATAAATTGTGCCATAAATTAAAAAAAATTATAAAGAAAAAAAAATTCATATAAGATTTTTTCTTTGAGTTTGGATCATTTGAATATTGTTCTTTTTTTATAAGCTTTTGTTGGAGAAAATGAAGCTATTCAGAATATTGTAAAAGGATGTAACGGTGTCTAACAGACCGTAATGGTACTGTTACGACCGTTACACATGTAAATTTCCGTCATACCACTATAGCGGCCGTAACGGGTAGCGGTAACCACTGCAACCGTTACGTAATGGCGTTTCGTAACGGTTGCAGTCGCTTTTTAAAACCTTGGGTGGGGCAGACAGGTTCGGAAATGGCCGGATTAGCAGAGGGGTCTGCTTCTCTTGCCAAGTAATAGGAATATAGTAATCATCTTCTAATTGAAAATTTAGGCCTTCTTTGAGGTGTCCTAAAAAAGTCAAAAAGTCACTATCTTATTTAAGTCACTATCTTATTTAAGTCACATTACCTCTTTACCATATCATTTCAAACCCAACACGTATTTTATAAAAAGTCAAAAGGTACTCTTATTTTTAGAACATCCCAAACAATTCCTTAGTAAATATTTGGTGCATATACCTTCAAGACGATGGACTCAGGTGGGCCATATTAGGTTATCCCAGTGCAAACTTGATGGCAAATTTCATGTTTTTACACACAACTCTTTTTCTTTTCTTTTTAAAATTTTTTTATGTATCTTCATTCATCAAACTGTTAGATGACAATATTATGTATGCGTGTGCCCTTTCTTTTCATGTGTATCTTCATTCATCAAACTGTTAGATGACAATCTTGTGTGTGTGTGTGTGCACCCTTTCTCTTCATGTCTCTGTTTAGATAATGGTATGTAGTAATCACATGAACTTCCAAGATGAGGTCAACCAAGTAGTTGTCCATGAGCTCATTCATGCTTATGACGATTGTCGTGCCGCAAACTTGGACTGGGCGAATTGTGCTCATCATGCTTGTAGTGAGGTTTGTGTCGCGATGCCAACTAACTCTTTCCTTGGGTGTTTTGTTTGTTGGAGTTTCTTAAATCATCAAGGTCCTTTTCATTGTTCCCATTTCTATGTGAAGCAGATTCGGGCTGGTCATTTAAGTGGTGATTGCCACTACAAGCGAGAATTGCTGCGTGGTTTTGTAAAGATACAAGGCCATGAACAAGTGAGTTCATTCTCTTTTCTAATCATTTGGCTATTAATTCTTATATTATTTCACTTGTTTTCCCTTACTAAATTTATGGTTACATAATAATCTATCCCATACATACACCTTGACAATGTGTAATTACAAAGCTTCTTAAAAAACTACATGCATTTCCATTTGTTTAAAGGTCAGTGAAGGAAAAAGGTTTTAGATGAGGCAAAGTTCAATTGTTAAAGGTTCAATGATTCAGATACCTTTGTTTTTTCTCTTCATTTCATGTTCTTGTTCTTTTATTTCTAAGGCTTTATGCTGGCTCGATCTTATTTGACAATGTGTGTGAAAAATCTAAATTTTTGCTAGTAACTGCAATGGGTTGGTTTTTAGTTCTTTGTCTTGATGTACTTGCATGTTTCTGTACCTTTTCACGGTACTCTCTCTGTTTGTTGGGAATCGTGGATGTCATATTGCGACAACTAATTATAATGTGTTTTCACTTTGCTTTCCTTCTAATCAGAGGCAAAGCTGTGTAATACATGCCCACATTAACCATAAGAATTTTATTCTTTAACACTGCCAGGCATTTATACTTGGGTTTCTTGAAATTATGTGCTCCTCATCTACTAGAGTGTGTGTGTGCGCATGCAAGTTGGATATGTATAGGATGGCAGCACATTGTAGAGGTTTTTTTCTTTTCTTTTTTTTTTCGTTTTTTTTTCCCGGGAAAGATATGTGAAAAAAAATGAAGTTCGAGAGGGTAGTTTTTGGATATCCTTCCCTTACAATCATAGCAGCAGTTAGTCACTTGCTTCTTGATAATTCACCACACAGATAGTGTCAAAGCGATTTTGTGGTAAGAAGATCTGTCCATGATATTCATACATTTGGGAAGAAGGGTTGAATATGTGACACAGATAAAATAGTTACCGATACTCCATCTGTTAAAACCTTTTCAATTCTTCCCATGTGTGACATGCATAAATGAAGTTATTGTCATGTTTTAACTCATTTTCATACCTTGTTTGTTCCTGCTTTATCTTTTCATTTGTAGGACTGTGTGAGAAGAAGAGTAATGAAATCGGTGATTGCTAATCCTTACTGCTCAGAAGCTGCTGCTAAGGATGCTATGGAAGCTGTATGGGATGTTTGTTATAATGATACAAAACCCTTCGACAGAGCTCCATGAAACAAGGGAATACTGCATCTCCATCAGTGCCTAACCAGCTGATGTGCCAATTGGTCTACCAGATGGATATGATCCATGATTGATTCTGGCTCTTAGCAAAATAGTAAAATTTCACATTCACTTCTATTATTTGAGTTACATTCGATGGAATACAAACTTTGGTGGTCATTTCTATCAGATTTTCCCTTTATTTTCCCAGTAAATCAAAGGGAGGATCTGACCCCCCCCCCTTAAGTCACTATCTTATTTAAGTTTTTTTTTTTGAATGTTATACTGAGTGTATGCACACAATTACCTGAGAAATGGAATATAAATTGCATCGGTTGGACAAGGTGTGTATCACTACGATTTTGATTTTTAATGATGGGATGTTAGTATTGTTTAGGTGATATGATATGAAATGAAAAATGCAGTATATATATTTTGATCTTCTTGAAGTTGCATAGTTCGGCTTAGTGAGTTCTAATTCACAGCTGGAAATATCATCCTGGAATCCTTTCCTGAATTGCAAAGTTCATCTAGGATACAAGCCTAGAAGGGTGCTTTGTGGTATGCACTAGAAACTTGTTTTTGTATTAGTTTAGAGCTGTCCAACTATATATAATATAATATAATAATGTGTTTGTTTTGCTCGAAGATTATTGTCTGATGGGCCGGCCACATCCGAATGTTCAGATCACGAGGTTTGCTTTATTGTTTTTTGGAAATCAAAGGGCTTTTTGAGCAGAGGAAAGAACAAAAAGAAACCCCAGGGATCAGCATACCATGTGCATGCCTATAAAATAAACCTACTATATATATATATATGATACATATCATATGCCTCCTATACTATAAGATGGAGAATTTGAGTATCGAATGACACGTGGCAGAAAACGGAATAGTATTATACCATATATATATATAATATAGACAGGGTTGGGTGGAGGAGAATTTTATAGAGGTAAGGGTGGTATTACCATGAGGGTGGTGGTGGTTATTAAGGTTGTTGTTTGTCTCTTGTCTTTGCTTGGTGATCGACAACAACACAAGTCTCTTGCTGACGGACAAGTACACTACAAAGGTACATACGTAGACATGTCTGGTTGTTTTGCTAGACAGAGACACTCATTGCTGTGGATTTTGATTATTAAAGTGTGGATATATGTAATTTGCAGGGGTGATGATGGGAACACAGGATCAGAATCGTAAAATGGGAAGAAGAGTACTACTGGGTAAGCAAGAGACAGCGAGCTGGTGGCTGTCAGAGGATTACTCTATGCCTCGGAGGCGGAGGCATGTTCACAATGATTTACAACCATGACTACTCTCTCTCTCTCTCTCTCTCTCTCTCTCTCTCTCTCTCTCTCGTCATTGTAAGCATGGATGCCGGATGGTTGTAGCAAACTGGTTGATATTTTATGCATCTATTGTAAGGTTTCGTTTAATATTACTATGTAAAACGTTCACCAAATCTTCTTGTATAGGATGGCAGCACATTGTAGAGGTTTTTTTCTTTTCTTTTTTTTTTGGTTTTTTTTCCCCGGAAAAGATATGTGAAAAAAAATGAAGTTCGACAGGGTAGTTTTTGGAGAGAGAGAGAGAGAGAGAGTACCCGTTGTAGTGTCTACTTTTGTGTATCGTTATTGATTATTTTTACCTCAATTTTCTAACCAAATCAAACACAATCACATTTGTGAGGGGAAAGTAGTCTCTGTGTTCTTGTCAAATACAGTATTATTGTATTTTAAATCTTATCCATAATTATATTTGTAACAGTTTATGAAATCGAAATAGAGCTTTAGCGACGACTGTTGACTTTTATGTCCTCCGAGGCAGGTTACGAATTTCTTTTCTTCCCGCTCCTTGTTCTTCTTCTCAGTAACAGTGCAAATAAATAAGTAAGCTGCGCATGCACCAACAGTTCATAGCTTCCCCATGTTCTAAAAGCAACATGAGATAGAGATGTTCTTGCTCTCCCTCCTTAACTTTATATTATTTTAATTTCAGATTTGATTTCATATTCTATTAGTTTATTATCAATCTTGGATCACAGATAATTGCTTTCATACTCTTTAATATTTTGCTTACAACAACTCAAATAGTCTGCTAATAATCTATGTTAAAGTAAAAATTTGAAAATGACTCTTTCACATGCCAAATTATATAATTGTCAAAATTTGACAAGCCATAGTTGGTAGCTAAATGGTGAGATTATAATTTTTTTAAAAATAAATACAATTGAATGATAGATATGATTTTGAGAATGGACCATTCATTTTTTTTAAAGAAAAATGTGAACTGATCATATGAATATAGCTATCTAATCAATCTAATTTTTTATATGAATAACTTATTTAGAGAGTCTTATAAGATAAATGATTAGAGTAAGTCATATAATTGAACTCATAAAGTCCAACAATACCCTCCAATTGAGATTCCTAACTAGGGAGGATCCTCACTTGTCTAGATATATTTCTAAAAGTTTGTTTTCAAAATCTACTTTTATTTTATTTTATTTTTTATTTTTTGCATGCATAGATAAGTATCAGGAGTTCTTTTGGCATCCAAAGCCAGTTACTCATAAATACATGAAGGTGCAATATTAAAATATATTGAAATCCTAGTGCTATGGTCTTCTTTGTAAAAAAATTTATTTTGGAACTTTTTTTTATTTTTTTATTTGGTAAATATTTATTTTGGACCTTTTTCTCCCCATTTTCTAAAATACTCTAACATTAATAATTAATGAATTAAAACTTATAAAATTAAAAACACAACAAAATCAATTCCTAACACAAACAAATCATTCAAAATTCTAAACTTTTAAATCAAATCATAAACTAATACAAGCACATCTTTCAAAATCCTAAACTAGATCATCAATCTCATTCACTATCTACTACCAAACAATACAATTAAAGTAAAATCATTGAAAATCCTAAACTTACCTAAAAGTAATTCTTCATTAATTTTTATATTAATCCAAAATGCAATAATAAAATAATAACGGTCTAGGTTTTTTTTTCTCTAAAAAGAAGTCTAAATGCAAGCGAGTTCTTGCAGGTGTGGGTTAAACCCTCAACTTGCAATCATGTCATATTCCAAACCGTATCCACTCGCATTGTGTCTGTGAAACCGCCTATTTATATGCGGATCGGTTCAGATTGTATGAATTGTGCGGTTCGAATAACTCTCAATCCAACCCTACAATTTACAACCCATATGGTCTTTTGAATCTAGCCCTGCAGTTCGGCCCATACTACGTTATTTGCTCCTGGGCCTGACCTAAAACCCAAGTAAATTTTGGGCTGTTCTTCTAACCACACCCTTCCATCAAAACCCTAAAGAAGAAAATTTTCGAATTTTACACTTATAACAAAATAAATCCTTGAGTTTTAATTTTAGGTAAATTACAAATATATTCCTGTGATTTGATTAAAATACGAATCGTCTCTTGTGATTTTGAAAAATTACATTCCACCCACTGATGTTTCTAATTTCATAACAAATCGTCTCTTTTATTAATAAAATATTCAGTCAATTAACAGTTTTTAATGATGTTAAAAATATGTTTTAATTAATAATTTAAGTAATTTTATTATTATATAGGAGAACATTTATGAATTTTATTTTTTTTAGTTAATTCTGTAAAATAAAAAATTATAATAAGAGGGTATTTGTAATTTTTCAAACCACAAGGGACAATCTGTATTTTAAGCAAATCTCAGGGGATCTATTTGTAATTTATCCTTTAATTTTATAATTTAAATCTCACTTTCTAATTTATTTTCAATTTAAATTAGGTTTTTATTTCTATTAAATAAAACGAAAAATGACTTGGACCCCCAGCTGGGGGTCGCCCATGATTGGGCAAAAAAAACAGTTTTTTTTTTTTTTAAAAGTTTCCGTCCAATCCCAGGCCGACACGTGGCACTGGGGGTCGGTGGGGGTCGTCCGTACTGGGGGTCTGTAGTATTGTTGAAATAAAACTGACGGGAAAAGATAAACAATGTGCCTAATTTTTTTTAAAGAATAATATGCGTGTAATTCCCTGGAAATGAATATCGAAATGAAAACTGATGATGAACTCCACAAATTCATGTAGCACCGTCCAATTTAGATTTTGAGTTGAAGATTAAAAGATTTGTTTATGTAAATGGGGTTACACTCTGCAAGTTAAAAAAAAACCCTCATATAATAATTAGCATCGGTTTAAGGGGAAATTCTACTAGGTGTTTTTCCGGTTTAAAATTAGATTATAGAGTTGTTTGAGATGATTTAAATAAGTGTATTTTTTATCTTTTTTTATAAAAAAATGTACAGAAAAATAAAGAGGTGACGTGATAAAAAAAAGATAAAAAGATTAATTATTTATAAGATGCCAAGCTTGGCCTAAATGCAATCACGTGGCGTGCATGATTAGTTGTGGTTATTAATGATTGTTGTGTGAATGCATGAAAAAAATAAATTTTCTATTTTTGATGGTGTTTAAATTTGTGTGAAAGGGTGAGTTGTTGTTCATAGAGTAGATCGCCAGATTTATTACATATAAAACATTGCTTCTCACGCAACGTGTCATCTCTCTTCCCTCTCTCCGCCCACCTCCACCACAATTGAATGATAGATATGATATATTCCCTCTGTTCCCTCTCTCTCTCTCTCTCTCTCTCTCTCTCTCTCCTCCACCACCATTCTCTCTCTCTCGATGGCTCCATTCTTGGAATCCCAGCAGATGAAGGTAAACGGTGAAACAGAGAAATGTAGAGTAACAGTTGTTGGAAGTGGGAATTGGGGAAGTGTCGCCGCCAAGCTCATTGCCTCCAACACCCTTAAACTCTCCTCCTTCCATGGTAATCCCCAATTTCTCATTTCATTCTTTAATTTTATATACATACATTCACATACACATTTGTACAAAAAAACCATTCATGCCACATATTAAACTTGCATGTATTTTTAAAAAAAAAATAAAAAAATACCCATTTTGAATCTTGGATTTTATTTGATATGATGAAATTTAGATGAAGTGAGGATGTGGGTATTCGAGGAGGTATTGCCAAGTGGTGAGAAACTTTCTGAGGCCATCAACAAAAACAATGTAAATTCACCCCATTCTTCTTCTTTTTCCCTACGATGTGTCAATTTGTATTTGTAATTGATCACTATTCTAATTAATTTTTCACAATCATGACAGGAGAATGTTAAATATCTTCCTGGTATAAAACTTGGCACAAATGTTGTTGCTGACCCAGACCTTGAACATGCAGGTACTTTTAATTTCCTTTTATGCAATTAGTTAAATTTAATTCATGAGTCCATAACATGGAGCAGGGGTCCCTGCCCTGCCCCAAGATAGGGCCACTCCAGATCGATTTTGATGATTCAAATCGCTTATTTTATAGGATTATGTAGAGACTATCATCCATGAAAATATATTTATCGAATATCGTTAGCCACGTGATTGGATTATATTTCGCAAACAAAATCAACAGCTTATTATGAAAATCACATTTATCATCCATTTTAATCTAAATATGATTCGATTTTATAAATGCTAATATTTAGTTAACTTGAATTTTGACAATGACCCTACAAACTGAACGATTGGATCATGAAGGTGAGTTCAAAGTGGGCCCCACCTCCATGTTGTGCCTATTCAATTCACTCATAAGTTTTCATATTTTGAGATTCTCACATGATCTGATGAATTGAGACGAGAGAATAAAGTTATTTTTTGAGACATTGTGTTATCCTTTTTTCTGACCACTTTTAGCTGGGGGAATACACAGTTCAGGATGCAAACATGTTGGTTTTTGTGACTCCACATCAATTCATGGAGGGTATATGTAGAAGGCTTGTGGGGATGATAAGGGAAGATGCACAAGCTATTTCCCTCATTAAAGGGATGGAGGTCAAGATGGAAGGTCCATGCATGATCTCTTCTCTCATAACTGAACAGCTCGGTATTAATTGTTGTGTTCTAATGGGAGCAAATATTGCTAATGAGGTAATTAGAACTGAATTGTTATTTGAATTTTACTCTCTTGCACGAGCCATTCGAACCATCAGTTGCTAATGATTAGACACTGTGTATGCAGATTGCAGTGGAGAAGTTCAGTGAAGCGACGGTTGGATACAGAGAGATCAGAGATATCGCAGAGAAATGGGTTCAGCTATTCAGTACACCTTATTTCATGGTCTCAGCTGTGAGTGCCAAGTATATATATATATGTATATTCTTGATCAATTGCTATTGCTAGGCATTCCATAGAATTTTAATTGTTTGGTGTATAACAAATTTGATGAATTTAATACACCCTATCAGTAATAAAAGCAATCATTATTCAACTGATTTGTTTTATGAAAACAAAAACAAAAAACCAAAAATCAGGTTCAAGATGTGGAAGGAGTTGAACTATGCGGGACTCTGAAAAATGTTGTGGCAATAGCAGCAGGTTTTGACGGCCCACTGTTTTTCCTTTTAAGTATCATTTACTGTATTGTGTGTTAATTAAGGGTTTGATGTTCAATGAAACAGGTATCGTGGACGGGTTGGAAATGGGAAATAACACAAAGGTATTTTACTCTTTGTTTCAAATCACGACACATTGATATCTACCTTAAGAAAAGTAGGCACCTTGATGGTTTATATGATAATTTACTAGGCTGCAATAATGAGAATTGGTTTGAGAGAAATGAAGGCCTTTTCAAAGCTTCTGTTCTCGTCTGTCAAGGATAGCACCTTCTTTGAAAGTTGTGGTGTGGCCGATCTCATAACAACTTGCTGTAAGGCAGCAGATAGAATTTTTTTTTTCTTTTTTGTATAAATTTTATCTTCTCGATAGCACTATTGAAGCAAACATTACTATTTTGTTTTGATATGGCAGTAGGGGGAAGAAACAGGAAATGTGCGGAAGCTTTTGCTAGGAATGGCGGGAAAAGGTCTGTGTCTCTTAGCTTCGTTTAATGCTCAAAAACTTAACATACGGATTAATTTCTGATCATGTTTGGTGTTGCTGATTCTGATCTATAGGTCCTTTGATGAGCTTGAAGCAGAGATGCTGCAGGGCCAGAAACTACAGGTAGATATGAATAATACGTACAAAGAAAAAAAGCAAAAGAAATGAAATGCTTCAAATAAGTGTACATTCAAAATTTGTTGAAAACAAGATTATCTGATCTTTCTTTATTATTTTCTTGAAGGGTGTTTCAACAGCTAAAGAGGTTTACGAGGTTTTAAGCCATCGGGGATGGCTAGAGTTGTTCCCGCTATTTACAATAGTGCATGAGATATCCATTGGTCGTCGTCCACCATCAGCCATTGTTGAATTCAGCGAGCTCAAGCCCAAATTCTCCATCTTGGAAAGCGCTGCCCAATTTTACTGATTCTTCCATGGATCAAGTAACATTCACTACCTTTTTGTTTCAATCTCAAAAAAGTTGTTTAATTTTATTCATCATCGTTGCAACAAAACATGAATTCTAAGGCTAGATGGAACTTCGTCTTGTTAACTTATATGTACCATTCGCTGTGATTGCACCATGATTCAGAGGCTCAAAATGTGTCACAATGTAGCATTTTTGTAAGCTTCAATCTTGTGTCTTTTGTTTATGTAAATTTCGGTACCAAACAAGTATCGTCATTTCCTAGAACAACATTCTTCTTAAAGCCTTTCAATGAACAACATTCTTCTTAAAGCCTTTCAACCAATTGATACGACTTTGGAGAGCAGTTTTTGCTAAAACTTAAGCAGTTTCTTACAAACTCACTTCAAATATGAAACTTTTCAGAGATGCTCTTGTTATTCTTAAAAGTATTTGAGATAGGGTAAAAGCACGGAATGTATTTGCACCCTTCACAAAATCTAGAATCAGAAAGGCCACACAGCAAGAATACATTAGAAAAAAATCCATTATAATCACCACACTTTTCTCTCTTCATTGTATGCCATAGTTATTATAGGGGCTTCAACAACCCGACTACAATGCTGGAGGACCATAAATTTAAAGGGAAAAAGAAAAAGAAAAAGAAAAAGAGAATGAGAAAAAAGCACAACTCTTTACCCCACACCAAACCAATGCATGAATTATACAATTGTTGTAAGAAAAATTACCCAGTTCTTATTCTATCCAACCGATCAACACTCTTCCGAGCTCTTTCTAGTTGATGGTCGATGCTTTTCCTGGATTTCTCAATGCAATCCACGCTTCTCCGCGACCTCTCCATTTGTTCAAAAGTCATTCTTAATTTTTCTAGCTTGTCAGCATTATTGGCCAGATTTAGATTTTTCAATTTTTCTGGCCTGTCGGTGCTCTTCCGTGGTTTATCTCTCCGGTCAGTGCTCTTCCTTGATGCCTCCTCTCTCCGGTCAGTGCTCTTCCTCGAAGCCTCCTCTCTCCGGTCAGTGCTCTTTCTTGAAGCCTCGAAAAAATCGGTACTCCTCCTAGGCTGCTCAAACTGGTCTGTGCTCTTCCTAGAAGCAGTGTTGTTTCTTTGGGAAGGTGATTTCTCAACGGTTGATATGAACTTCTTTAGATGCCTGATGTACTCTGGATATAGCTCTAAATCACAGTGGTTCCCTCCTTTAAGCCACAACGGCTCATATTTCTCTTTACACAGTTCCCAGAGTTGTTTACCATGAGAGCAATCAACCACCTCATCTGCAGTTCCCTATGAAATGGTTCAAAAACAAAACAAAATATGAATGTCTCAATTTCAAAAGATATTTGGAACAATTTACTTGGTCTCAATTTTACATCTTTTAAAAAGTTTGTCTTGTTTTGTTTTAGCCGCTTGCATGACCAGTATAGAAGTAATATCAGCTAACGTGAACCCGAGAATGTGAAAGCAAGTATGGAAACTGATAATAGATGACAGTACAGTCAAGGTTCTATTTATAATGTGCAAACATTTTATGATGAAATAGTGAAGTTTAAAAGTGTCCTAACCTAAGCCGAAGTTCAGAAACCAGCAATTAAATAAGAGTCACAATACTAAGAACTAATTTGGCATTTAACCATAGTCTGACATGCAAGAGGTGCTACAAATGAGGCAGGCTGAACAAGATCACATTTCACAAGGGTCATGCAAACATTCATACTTTATGTTCTTTTTTCTGTTTGGAAAGTATCAACTCAATATTTGCAATTCTTCAATGTAGACCATATGGAATTTATGTTTCCTTCTTAATTTAAATATATTCAAAACATACACTCAAAAAGAGACCCAAAATAAATGTGGATGGTTAGTGGTTGGTAGTCAGGTATGAAACCCTCCGGGAAGTTTTGGGAAGCACTGAGATTGTGTGATTTAGAGATGGAAGGGGTGAGAGAGAGAGAGAGAGAGAGAGAGAGAGAGAGAGAATGAAAGAGCGGGGGGGGGGAAGAGCACTGCTCAAACAAAGTACAGGTGGCTTGTCCTTTTTGGCCCAACAATCCAAAGGATACAACCACCCCTTGCATTGAAATACTTAGAATCTTCAACAACGGTCAGCTGTACTCAAAGTGCAAAGGAGTACAAAGCACATCATGTGTCTTGGTTATAGTTTGGATTTGTCTTCTTCTGAGGATCTCTCTCTAAAGCCAGTTAAGTATCTTAGAGAGGATGTGACAAATACCATGGAAAACCCTCAACTATAGCCATCAAGTCATAAGATCTTAGTCATCCAAGTCCGTGGTTATGATCATATACATGTACCCACAAAAACACAGAAACAAAGAAGCAAGGCAGATAAAGAAGGTAAGAGTTTCGTGCTAGCTTATACAATGGCTTAATTGTCTAAAAACTGTATTAGAATGGTTCTTCAATTACCATAAGTAATTCTAAAAGGTAAAATGTTGAAAATTGCATACTTACATGAATAATCAGCACAGGACAATTAACATATGGGATTTCATTAATGTTCTGCACACAGTCAACACAAACACCATTTAATTAGACCCAAAAAAAAAATGCATAATCTTTCAATCAAAATAATAGTATAGATAAACAGATGATCTACGCTTCACAGGATACATGACACTTATACACAGCTTCAATATCTGCATATGTATTATGCTCACTTGGCTGCAAAACAAGGAAGCTATGTGCCATAGATGACACTTTCTATCACTACAAGGCACACTATATAACTTAACAATTCACTTTCATCTAGAAAAGTTTTCGATTGCCACACACCTTCCCAGAAGACTGTCCATACCCAGAATAGTCATACCTGCGCAAAAGCAAACATAAAACTGTCATTACTTTGCTCAACAGATGACAGCATAACATTTTGATTCTTGGAATAGAACAGCAGATCATAACAGCTGCATTGTTTTCCCTCTATTCTGGGTATTAAATTTTCCATTCAAGTCCTATAGAGCTGGGACATGAGATTTGTCTATCAGTATCAAACTTTTGAAGCTACAGTGCAACCACTAAGGGCATGTATATATGTATGAATGTATGCAAACTAAGGTGATTTGAGTTATGTGATGAGAGAAGGCAAAGTTAACCACAAGGTCTGCCGAGATGAGACTTCTAGGGCAAAAGAACATCATTTTAAGTCAAAAATGGAGTGCGACAAGCAACCTATAATATATAGGGCAGGACTATAGATCCCTAACAACATTCTTTTCATTTTATGATTCATATCTTATAAAGTTTTAAAACTTACAAACTCTAAATAAAGAGATAAACGATTAAATCAAAACTAAAGTCCCATCAATATAACAAAATCTCAAGTAAATAAATTTGCAAAAATCTGAGTACATTCCAATTAAACCCTAATGCCAGAAGGGGGATAAAATCAAAACTAACACATAATTAAACCAATTTTTCATTTTCTTTTACACTGAACAGTCCCGTCAAATCCATCGAAGCACCCATAATCATAACCCCAATTTCCTGTAAATTAAATTGTAATTAACAACCAAAATCACCCACAGCCTCAGATATCAGTAGAGATAACCTCTAAAGTAAATAAATTTGCAAAAAATTGATGACATTCCAACTAAACCCTAATCCCAGAAGGGATCAAATCAAAACACACACAAAAAATCAACCAAATTTTCATTTTCTTTTTACATCGAATTGATCAAAACACTCATAAATTTCCATTTTGAGTAAATTAAAAAGTAATCAACAACCAAAATCACCCACAGCCTCGGAAATCAATAGAGATAAGCTCGAGAGACTAACAATGTTAGGAGGGGAAAACCTAAACTGACATGGGATGTAGTTTAAAAAAAAAAAAAAAAAATCAATCAATCAAACTACCAGGTGGAAAAAGTAACAAATTTTAGGAGTAAAACAAGAAACTCCAAAAACCCAACAAAACCCAGATGCCAGAAATGAAAGGATTACACAAATCAAGAAAAAGACAAGCCCCAAAGTCGCTCACACACAAAACATGCTCTCAATAGGCAAATTCACAGAGACAGAGAGAGAGAGAGAGAGTACCCCATGAGATTAACTTTCAAGTGGATGCTCAATTCGATGAAGAGATCATACATCTGACCCAGATCGGCGGCGTTACCATGAGAGTAGAGAAGAGTTGAGGTCGCCATAGGGTGTCGTATGTACACCGCCACTACCTCTGTCCCTTTACGAGTCGGCAATTTCAGTACTTCCACGTTTTCTCTATGAGGGAACGGACTCAGAAGCAAAAGCCCCGTCAGTTCGTCTGTGATCAGCTTGTACGAAGGTGGGTTCGGAGGAAAAAAGGCGAACTTGGCGGCCATTGATGACGTCACTCCACCCATCTCTCTCTCTATCTATTCTGTTCTCTCTCTTTCTCTTTCTGATTAGTATACCAGTAATGGGTATGTATTATTTTAGTTTCTCTATACAAACAGAGTTGAAGAAATCGAAATCAGATCGACATTCCTTCTTTTTATTTCCAGAAGATTGAACTTTTTTCGAGAGAAAGAAGAGAGAAGGAGCGCTTTAGACAGTAAGTGATTCAGGGGGCACGCATGGATGGAGGGTGGTTCTTTTTTATTCAAGTGTGAAATGAAATGGACAGGAGTTGGAGGCCTTATTAATGTAAAGTAAAAAGGAATGAAAAATGTTTGGTAGTTTAAAATTTTGTGGTTTAAATAATTTAAATTTGTCAAAATGATATCGTTTTATATTTATTTACATTTAAAATCACGTCGTTTTGAGTGATTTGAACTATTTAAATCACAAAATTTTGAACTACCTAACATTGTTAAAAAGGAAAATACCTGCTGCGTCAAAAATTATTGGCTCGAATTGGTTCAAATATCTAGCATGACATTATTTTGGGATTTTTTTTTTTAATTTCCCTGAAAGAGAGAAGAAAGAGAAAGATGCGAGAAAGAGATAGGAGGAAAAAAGATGGAGAGAAGGGGGAGGAAGAGAATAAGGAGACGGTGATGGCGACGCCGGTTGGTCAGTTGGTGGCTCTCTCTCTGCCGGCGAGTGGCCCTCTCTCTCTCTCTCTCATATATATATATATATATATATGTAGATATGAGTGTATAAATCTATGTATATACACAGATCTGGTGTTGATGATGATGTTCTCTCGAATTTTTTTTTTTTTTGATGATTTGTGTATACAATTTTTTTATTTTTTATTTTTTTGTGTGGTGATTGGTGGTTGTTGATGTTGATGATGTGTTGTTGTTCATGTTGATGCTCT